ACTGCAACGAAGAACCTTCAGCCAAAAAAAGTAACCTGGTACAACTGCTTAAAGCTGCTTCTTTGCAACAGTCTGCATGGGAGCTGCAGCACAGCAGTGAAGGAAGAGCTTGTATGGGAATGCTGCAGTAAATGCCTCACTCGCCAGGTATTTCAAAGCCTGCCACGGGCTTCGATCGATTCCTGCTAAAGCTTTTAGTGCACATTAGTTTGTTTACTGGTCCTAAGAGCATTATTACTTTGGTTTCTTTTTTTGGAGCTATACAAGCACATTGGAAGAGATCGTGTCACAAAACCTGCTGCCTGGGGACAGGTTTTGTCCTTTTTAAAACAACCCTCCTGTCCAGGCTTGGAACAGTTCTAACTCATTGCTTAGCCCAGGTGGCCACTTGCAACTCCTGAATGATCAAGTCACTCTGCACACTGTACACAAAACAACCATCCATGCAGTATTTAGTGCTGTATTCATACACTATTTAGTACTCCTGAGATTTCCAGCCCATGAGTTGTGCAGGAGTCTGCTTTAGCAGTAAAATATTAATGATGATCCCCAAGTCTATGTTGCAAAGTCAAATAAATCAAAGCAAAATGGGGAATTGACTTGAGGGTAGGTAACCTTGCAACAAACACAGGTCACCCATTAAACTGGTTCTATTTTACACAGAACTGCAAAAAAATCCAGTAAGCCTTTTCTTGCCTCCTGTCTCTGATGGCTACAAACATCAGGTGGTTTCAAAGAACCCCCCTGGGAGACTAACTGAAATGTCAGATGCAAGAAGAGGGTTACATACAGCTTCCTCATGCAGTAAACCCCAGTCTTCATCGTTTATGAGCATGGAATTGGTGTGCTGCAATGAAACTGGAGTTCTGGGCTGTGACCAGCACCTCCTCATGGCTCCTGAAAAGGATCCTGCCTGTGCAAGGCAGAGCTCTCCCTCCTGACCTGCTGCAAAGCACTCATGCTGCATCACTGCACTTCCAGAAAGAGAACCTCTTGCCAGGTAGGATAATGGAAGATTCTGGGGCTGTTTTCATCTCTCCACTGCAGATAGTTCCCACAGAGTCACTAGGTAGGATTAACATCTGAAGAGTGTGGGCTGGGATCCCAGCAGTGAGGGCTGAGAGGGTCTGCAAAGGGACGGAGAAGGAAAACACAGACTTTCAGTGAAAGATTTATTTCCTTCTCCTACGTACAAGCACAGGAAGATCACAACTGAAAAGTCGAGGTCACAGCAGTAACTACATGGCAGAATTCAGACAAGAAACAAACTATTCATTAAAACCTTGAAATGATGCGAGTATGAAGTCTTCAGAAATGTCTGCAATCTTATATTCATGACTTGGTATTGGAGGTCACGAAATTCTAGCAGTGAAAAAAAAAAAGGGAGAGAAGGACTGTGTGGGGCAAAGCAGAGTTGAATCCACAGAGATAACATCAGATAATTTCCAGCTAACAAGCGATCAGCCACTGGGTTGTGTCTGAGGAGCACTGACAGTCTGTCTCCAAAGCAAAGCTGAACAGTCAGAGCCACTCAAACCAAGCTGTATCCTGGACCTTGAAAGCAAAAGGCTGGTAAAAAAACAATATAAGCAGAATTGTACTTTGACACTTAGAGCAACCCTGGGGCCCTGTAAGGTCCCTACATGTAAACCCATCAGCATTGCGTGTGTACCACAGCATCGCACCAAGACACCAGTGCCAGTATCCCCTCCCAGGGTGGACACAGAACAGGTACCTTGGAGGCCAGGAGCTTGGCTGAAGGCCTGTAGATGAGGTGCTGAAAGACAACACCTGCACTCTCCATTTCCCCAGCTGCAGAAGCTGCCTTGCACAGGCTTTGTGAACAGGAAAGGCGGCAGAGAGCTCGCATGCTTTCGGGTGACAGGCAGAAGGAAGGGGAGCAGCATTTTAAAGCACCCTATGAGCATTACTAACACCCAGCATCTTTGTGAGGTTCCCAAAGGCAGCTCAAGCATGCAGCAGGAAAGCTGACCTGCAGCTGAGAAATCCTGAATTAACATTCAGCTGGGCTCAAGTGCTCCTGCTGATGTGTTAGAGAAAGCCCTATGTGCTCACACCAGGTCACAGCATTTCACAACCTGCCTTGTAATCACACCCAACAGTACCGTGAAGACAAGAGGTAAGGCTTTAGCCACTCAGAGGAAATGCTCTTCAGGTTTGCTGGGTCAGAAAAGACAGGGATGGCAAATATACTTGTAAAGGGAAGCTTGCTCCTTCCAGGACTGCTTGGCTTTTACAGTATTCAGCAACAATGATTTCCCAGTGTCTTTAACAGGGCTCATGGAAGGCAGGTAAGGAGCACAAGGAGCCAGAGGGTAAATCCACATTATCATCATGATAGTGTTAATGACTATTAACACAGGAATCAAAGGCAGGAGTGCACTCAGATGTACCACTTACTACAGGAGGAACTGGTGGGGATTTTGTACTGACTGAGAGCTCTCTACAAGACAAAGTTTTATTACCTATTAACATCAATTATGGTGTGCTGGGGTTTAAGCGCCTACCACCTCCAACAGGAAAGAGCAACAGCAAGCACTGAACTTCTAGAAGCATCAGTAAGAGTGATTGGCCTACTTATTCCCTAGCTGAAAAACAACATGTAACTGGCCCAGAGTTTAAAGCCAGGAAAGCTCAGGGCTGTAACTGGGTACAGAAAGCTGTTTTTAACCTTTGCACTGGAAGCTAAAGGTGTTTCACTACCCTCAAACAACAACACTCAAATCTATCCAGTCCATACACCAGGGTTTATAGATCTTCAAGTGCTCGACAAACAGGGGAGAGACAGGAATGAACCTAACACACAAAGCAGGCACATAATGGCACAAGATGGGGCTAGTGGAAGCCCTGGCACCATGAGCACCTCCACCCATTTCAGAATCAAGAGCTCAGGAAAATACAAGGGTGACAGAAGCACCCTCTCGAATCTATGGTTTAGCTGTGACCAGCACAAGTCACCATTAAGGATGTCAAACAAGAGCCTCACAGCCAAAGATGCTAAGAGTCAAAGACACTAAAAGAAGCACCTGCAGGTAACAGCGGGCAACAGCACCCAAAAGGCAACAAACCTTATGCTCAAGACACCCATGTAGTGCCCACAGTTTGTACCCTTTCCAGCACTGACAACAAGCAGTAAATCAGGCTTACCTGGCTGGTTCTCACACATTAGTGTAACCCAAAGAGGGCTGGGTCAGCAGACAGCCAAAAGCCCTGATTACAACCACAAAATGGTTAAGTCCCATAACATATTTCCAATGGCACCAGGTTTGTTTTTAGCAACCCCGAGCTGCAGTGCAGACGGCACAGAATGCCTCTTGATTTCGACAGCGGGCAGCTTCCCAGATGGAAAAATCAATACAAGTACACCTCAATTCCTCAAGCACTCAGGAGACTTTTCCTCAGGTTAAAGGGGTAGAGATGCCCACACCAGAGGAGAACCACCATGAAGAGGAAAGACATCTTATTCCCATAACTGCCTTTGATTTCTGATCCTCCCCAGTCTAGCATTTCCTAACACTGCAAAGGGTTCCGTTACCAAGCGACTGAAGTCAGAGCTAGCACTCCTGGATTTGGGAACCCAGTAGCAACTCCTAAGTCTGTGTTTACTCACCCAAACCGAGGTGGCTTTGTTTAGGTGCTTAAACCACACTCACCCTGGGACAAATCCTTGCTGCAACAGCACACAGATTTCACTGGAAAGCTGCAGTGACTGAACTGTGTTTTTTTAGAGAAAGAAGGCTTTTATTTTCCCAAGGTAGAAACCCATCACGTGGCAGTATCTTTTCTGAATACCTGTTTTCATTTTCCTTATCTCCAACCGGTCACGTGTGCAATGACACTACCACCTAAATTTAGCTCATTCCGTTAGCACTTGCAATCCCACCGATGCCTGTAGGACTGCAACACACCTTTCCTCCTCTCCGTCTTCCCTCTCTCCTTCAGTGCACAAGGCCATTACTGCACCAGCAAAGCACACACCATACCAGAAGCCTCCCAGCTCGCCTGCCACCCCAGACGAGGGCCAGGACCCACTGCAAGGACAGTGCAGGACTGTTTTGTTCAGTGCAACGCCCATTCCTCGCAGGCCCCTTTGTGTTATATTACAGTGCCCCCTCGCTCGCTTTTGTCTCGGTACTGTCAGTCAGTGTACGCCAAGCGAACTTTGGGAAGTGGGAACGTTCTGACACACACCTACCTACACCTTGTGGCTCTTCATGTGGAATTAAGAGGTCACAGATTTACGCATGGCTCAGCGGCGGGGGGGACCTGCTCACGTCAACAAGGGCAGATCCACACCACAATTACTGCCCGCTGAAATCTGAACAGGGAAATCCCATGTCGAGGTTTCCCTATTCAGCTGCTGACTCCCTGAAAACAGGCAATGACGACACTGTCCATGAAGGCAGAGATACCGACCCGCATTCCCAGCATGAGGGGTCTGGAAGCTCGCACAAACCACCTTCACAGGCAGGCCTCTCTCTATGCCATTAAACAGCAGGAGCCTTCCCTGCCGGTGGGCCGAACTGGATGAGCTTTAAGGTCCATTCCAACCTAAACCGTTCCAGGATACGATTCTATGATGAAACCCCAGCACCTCAGCCGTGTTCTGCCACCAGCAAAGGGCAGCAGCAGCACCCACAGCGGCCTTCCAGAAGGAGCTCAATGAAGGAAGGGAAAGGGGTCAGGATTTCCACCTCTGGAGGACCCCGTCCACCTTCCCTGCTCAGATCGCGGCTCCACAGCGGGCAGGGATGGGGTAAAGCAAGGAAAGCCGCCAAACCCCTTCGGCGGGGGCTCCGGAGCAGCGGACACCACAGCCCGCGGACAGAAGAGCAGGGGAGGGGAGAGGAGCCACCGGCAGCCCGCGCAGGCCCCTGCCCCGGGAGGCCTCCAAGGCGGAGCCAGGCCCCCCAGTGCGGGCCACACGCGGGCGCAGAGGCCGCGCTAACCCCCACGTCGGCGGAAGCCGGCCCGGTTACCTTGGTCTCCTTGACGTGCTGCTTGATGCCCTCCGGGTACCACTGCACCCGCACGTAGCCCCGCCGCAGCGGGCTGGCGCGGCCCTCCTCCGTGCCGCCGGTGCCGGGCCCCCCGGACTCGGAGCCTCCCGAGCTGGCGGCGCCGCCGCCGGTGCCTCGGCCGCCCTCATCCGAGTCCTCCTCCGAGTCCTCGCCGTGGATGAGGCGCACCAGGCCGAAGCGCACGGAGCCGCGGTAGCGGCCCGACACCAGGTCGTGCGAGAAGAGGAGGCGCTGCGAGCCGCCCGGCGGGGCCGGCAGCGGCAGGGCGGGGGCCGGGGCCGGTGCCGGGGCCGCCTCAGCGGGCAGGTCCGCCATGGCGCCGGGAGTCACGACAGAGCGCGCGGCCGCCTCGGCGGGCGGGGGAGGGGAGGGGCGGGATGGCGCGGGCCGCGCGCAACTAACGGGGCGGGAGGCGGGGCCAAGCGAGGCCACGCCCACGACCAGGCCACGCCCACCATGCGGAAGGGGGTGGGTGCGGACATGGACTTGGGGGGGTTTGGGCTGCACCATGTCCCCTGTCAGCGGGGGAGGCTGGAATGCACCATGTCCTCGGTCACCGGGGGCTGCACGGCAGAGTCCCGATTTTCCCTGTCACTGGGGGTAGCACCGCACTATCCCTGTGTCTCCTCTCATTGGGGATTGCACTGCACCATCCCCGTGTCCTCAGTCATTGGGGGCTGCACCGCACCATCCCCGTGTCCCTGGTCACTGGGGGCTGCACTGCACCATCCCCGTGTTCCTGGTCACTGGGGGCTGCACTGCACCATCCCCGTGTCCCTGGTCACTGGGGGCTGCACTGCACCATCCCCGTGTCCCTGGTCACTGACATCATTTGACTTCATTGACTCCAAGGGATTTTTTTCTCCTGTGTCTCCAGGGAATTGTGAAATAGAAATGGTTTCTCGAGCTGGTTCCGCTGCTCTGGCTGGTGAAGGGCTGATGGAAGCCGAACCAGCCTTCACCCACAGATCCTGCCTCTTTGCTCCTTAGGTCTCCCCACCTGTGCAGCATTGGCTGGAATATCAGGAAAATGCCGGAATCCTCAGCCTGACTTATTTTGCTGCAGGAAACAGGAGCTGCAGAGCAGGGCTTTCCCTCTTGCCCTCTCCCTCCCCGAAATGCAAGGATGCTCTGCCTCAGCTGGATCAGTTCTCCTTCCAAGTTTTCCCCTTTTAGGAAAAGCAACAGGGAGAAAGCTCTGTCCATATTCACCTCTGAGATTCACCATGGAGCCCCTCTCCTCAGGCCTGCTAGGAATTTCCAACCTTGTAAACAGCCCTAAACCCCTGGGAAACAGCTGGGATGAGGCTGGGGCATCCGGGTGGTGCATGGCTGAGGGATGCACTGGGAGCCAGTTCATCCCTGCCCAGTTTCTCGGCTATCTTGAGGTGTGGGCAGCAGGATACTCTAGGCGATGGGAAGTACAAACTGTCCCCATCCTGCTTCCAAATGAGGGAGTTGCAGGCAGAGAAGCTCTCCCAGAGCCCACCTTCCCCTGGACCAGCCTGACCTTGACACCAGTATTTAATTGCTCACTAGAGCATCACTTTAATCAGAGGGCTGGGGTGTTGATGTGGTTGAGCATTCCTTGGCATCACCCCCAGGGATAAGGAATGGAGCAGAGCTAAAAGGGACCATTGGGTGGGAAAATAGCAGCCTACCCTTGGGAAAAGGCAGTTTAAATATCCATTCAGTACCATGTGGTTACAGGGCTGTTCACAGGGATGTGCTTCTGGGAGCACAGAGCTGTGTCCGCAAGCCATGACCTCTGTAAAATGGAGAATAGATGGGATGAGCTCAGCACTTGCTGGGCACACAAGTGCCTCCAGCACAAGGATTTCACCCTCTGAGCGTTACTGGAGTGGAGCTTGCAGCACAGCTCCCCAGGGCATTCTGCTCCTGTTGGAGCTAGCGACCAGGTACCAGTCTCTCTCCTGGTGTAGTCAGGGTGAATTGTGCCTTGGTGGAACAGGATGAGGCCTCTGGGAGGTGCCCTTTGGCACTGGTGCCATGTTCTTCTCAAGGCTCCAAAGCACAGCTCTACCCAGCACTGTGATGATTCTCATCGTCTCCTTAATGTACATCTTACAGGCACTAATATAGTAGACATACATGTAATGCACAGTTGTGTGTGTAGATAGAAACTGTCCCTCTTCAGAGCAATTGCATGCTGAAGAGCAGCGGTGGGGTTTCAGGTAGCCATAAACAGCCATGCAAACAAGCACATTATACAACAGGCCAGGCTCACAGCAGGGGGATTTTAATGGGGACAAGTGAGGACCCTCTGCCTGTTAGCAAGAGTTGAGCTGGGTGGTTTTGCACTGTGATCCCAGCTGGGGCTCTGCTGTGCTTCCATAGGGAAGCAGCACTGCTCTGCAAAACACTATGGCAGACCCAAGAAGCATTTTGCATCCATGTGTTTTTGGCAAGTGAGATAGATTCAGCAGAAGGTCTGAACACACAGGAAGTGTGTGAAAGGGACACATGTCAAGCAGCCCCCCACTGCCTCGTTTAGGGACCATTTCTGCTCTTAGGCTGGTTGGGAAATGATGGCTTTTGCTTTGCAGGAGAACATCCTCCCTGCAAGCAAGCTGCCTCTGAGACCCAGCCTCTTTACAGCTGTTGGATCACCAGCATCTCCCTGTCGAGGCACTGGTGAAAGGCAATCCCCTTCCCTTCTCCTTGGGAGCTGGTGCACCTCTCATGGGGCATCTTTGCACAGGCCTTGCAGGGGTTAAGCAGAAGGCACTGGAATGCCCACCGGGTGCTGGGATGTCCAGAGGGCACCAGGATGCCTGCAGTGTGCCAGGGATGTCCAGAGGGTGAAGGGTACCCATAAGATACTGGTAATGCCTGCAGAATGCCACTGATGCCCATAAGGTACCAGGATGCCCAGTGATGCTGGTGATGCCTGTAGGGTGCTGGTGATGCCTGGTGATGCCTGTGGGGTACTGGGATGCCCAGTGATGCCCAAGGGTGCTGGTGAAGCCCGGTGGTGCTGATGATGTCTGCAGGTGTTGGGATGTCTCGTGATGCTGGGAGGCTTGAAAGACCCCAGTGCCCATTGATGCTGGTGATGCACGATGATACCCAGAGGGCTCCGGTGCCCGGTGGTGCTGGTGATGCCCGGTGATGCCCGGAGGGCTCCGGTGCCCGGTGGTGCTGGTGATGCCCGGTGATGCCCAGAGGGCTCCGGTGCCCGGTGGTGCTGGTGATGCCCGGTGATGCCCAGAGGGCTTCGGTGCCCGGTGGTGCTGGTGATGCCCGGTGATACCCAGAGGGCTTCGGTGCCCGGTGGTGCTGGTGATGCCCGGTGATGCCCAGAGGGCTCCGGTGCCCGGTGGTGCTGGTGATGCCCGGTGATGCCCGGAGGGTCCTGGTGCCCGCGCTGCTGCGGGGCTCTGGTGCCACCTCGTGGGCTGCCGCCTGCCGCCGCCGCACAGGGTCTGGCCCGGCCGCTCCGTGTGTTGCGGACGGGCGAGGACGGCACCGGTTCGCCGGGTCAGAGGAGCGGGAGCAGTGCTCGGGAGCCCCGCCTGGTGCTGCTGGTGGAGCTCAGAGGCAGGAGAGCACCGTGAAACTGCCCCCGGGCTGCTCGTGCTCTTTCCTCAAAGGCCCGTGTAGAGGAGGAGCGCGATTCACCAGCCCTGCAAAGGCACGTGTTGATGTGCTGTAGGACAAAGCCAGCGCTGTAAGCCTGGGCAGAGCTGCGATCTCAGACAAGCTGTGAAGTAGCATCCCTTCATTCCTTCATCCTTTCTCCAGCTCCCTGTGGGTCTCGCAGAAGGGCATCAGCTGCACTGATGGGCCAAAAGGAATATGGCAGAGAAAACCACATACATGTATATCTGCATGGTTTATATCTCTATTATATATGTATATTAACATTTCAGAGCACAGAGCAGAACCAGCCCCTCTAGGGTCTGTTTAGAGCCTGGGGCATCTGGCCACTGTCCATGGGAGCCTTGAACCTCTATTCCAGCAGAGCCCCAGCTCCCAGACTCTTAACCTGCACCGAATGTCCCTCTCCAGCACAGAGACGTGGACCTGCTGGTGAGTTCAACCTGCGCTTGGCAGCTCAGCACGGGAGCCCTGAGGGATAAAGCAAAGGAGACAGCCTGGCAAGTGATGAAGATACTGAGTATGCCCAAAGAGCCTCATCCTGCTGTGAAGGTACAGCAACAACAAGCACTCCATGCTGCCGGTCCGTGGTAGCTGATGAAAAGGCAGCAGGCAGCGGAGAATGGAATCAAAACCAGTGGCTGACCTTGCAGTGATGTCCCACTGCCACCCCTCTTATGCCACTGCTAGGAGAAATGCGTCACCCTCTTGGGTCCCTATGGCTAAGGCAGGGGAAGGTGTGAAACAGGGATGTAAGCAAAGCATCCAGCTTGGAAATCACAGGAGTAAAAACATGAGTTTGGCAGAGAAACCTCCCCGATGATGGCACTCAGGGGAGGACCCTGGTGCCACCGTTGGCCCCTGTGATGGCAGACCCTGGGCTGCATGTGTGTCGCTTCAGCCCCAAGTCCTGGCAGAGCAGGGGACGAGTTGTGGTCGATCTGCACTCCGTGTGCCACCCCTCTCTGCACAACCTACCCAGAGACAATTGCCACCTTCCTGAGCAGGACCCCAGGGGAGGGACCAGCCTGGCTGCAGCGACAGCTCAAGGCTCTCTGAAGATGCTAAATGTGTAAATCCCAGCACAGTGCTGTGGTTCTCATTTAATGGCATATTTGACCCTCTGCAGCTGTGTAGGAGCAGGGAGAGATGGATCCAGTTAAAACCACCTAATGCAGCATCCCTGCTTGACTATTCCAGACACGGACCAGCCTCTGTTCTGCTGGGCTCAGTATAAATGGCGGGGAGTGGCTCTGAAATGGCAATTCTGAGGAGCAGAAAGCTGCTGGGTTGTATTTCTGTTTCAATTCCATGAGAAGAAGCTTAAAAGAGGGAGATAAGGGAATCTCTCCCTTAAGGGGTCACCTTACCCATGGCTGGAAATGGAAGCAGGACCTGAGCTCCCCTGGACATGTCTCTGGTGGAACAAAGCCAGCTCTGCCTCTTGCTCCAGGCTCCTTTCAGGGCTGCATCTGGTTCATGATGATAATGATGATTCCAACATCATGCTCATGCCTGGGATAATCCCCCTTTTATTACACACATCCTGGCAAGGACAAATGTTGCTGCCTTTGCCTATCCAGTCTCTTATGCAATAGGAGGCTGTGCAAGGGAGATGCTTGCTCTTTGGAGTAAGCTCCTTGGGCAGAAAGCTCAGGTCTGGCCTCTCATCCCCCAAGGAACCAGCTGATTTCCCTCCCCAGCTGCTCAAA